TATCATTAAATTATAAGTTATCAACTTATAAATATAATTTCGATTACGTTTTAAAATTATTGAAAGTAATGGCATGTAGTTGGTGGCAAAAGCAAATATTCTTTTATATAATTTTAACATAAAAAATACTTGAACACTAAAGATTTTGTGATCGAGAAACGCTTATATCACCTATTTCTATACATCACAAAACTCATAAAAATGTACGATTATAAATATATATACATATTCATATATATTCCATACATATTCCATATTAAACTTTGATCTGTGGGTGAACTAAGCCTAAATAACTATGGGGATGAGTCATTTGTAGAATTCCATCAACATATCGAGCTGAAATTCTGCAATGTGATCTAGATGACAATATAAATCAATAAGATTATCGAATAATTTGAATAGGTGATAAGTAATCAAGAATCCTCGTAAATAATCAATTTCTTTTCGCTAAAGTAAAATGTTCTTTTTATTTTCAATTGTTATCAAGTTGATTATATTTTATCCGAAACAAATATCCATTAAATTTATTTAAATGTGTCCATATCATTCTTAATATTCACATAGATATCACAAGAGTTTGGTAATCATGCACCAATGATTCATGTCGGTGACGTTTACCCTACGCAGCAAATATCGTTCACGCGGAACGTCCTCTCAATCGTCTCGATCTAGACCTGGTCGTGTCTGGGCATCGAGTTACTAATTCGAATATTCGTTTCTATCTAGACACGTTTAGAAATATAAGCGGCGCGGAGCTGATAAAACGGTCTCTGGAATGTAAGATAAGGGCTACTAGGACCAGCTCGGTCGGCCTCGACCAACCAGAGAAATACCCGCGAGGATGACGGAGGAACGGAGAAGAAACATCCCGGAGATAAATGCGTACGCGTATCTCGAGCGGAACAAACTGGAGTTCATTATGTGACGCATAATCATAAGACAAATTATTCGCGTTTGGCTCTACAAAAGCGCGCCTTCGAGTTCCTGCGGACGTGCGTCCCCGGGCTCTTTTTCTTACAACCGCGAGGAAACTGGGGCGGTTTTCTGGCACCAATCACCAGAAGAACCGGCAATACCCCTGGTGCGGCCCCACTTACGACAGATGGCACTCACAAATAGACGATAGAAGAGGAACCCGAGATCAGTAACCCCGATAGGGGAAGAAACCGCGTGCGCTAACTGCGCCGTTTTCTTTAATCTGCCAAGATGCCGCCACTCTTCGTGACTCTGACCTTCGTCTGAACTCCTCTGCGCCTCGAATACACTGTATTTTAGACGTCGGCGGACGGTCATTACGCGTTTTCAGTTATAATGGTATCCATACATGCCTTGTGCCTTGTACATATCAATCATATATTCGACTCTTGCTTTTCGTCTACGAAATTGAGGTTGCTCCAACATTTTTAACAGGCATTAAGATTGCTATAATTTTGATAAAAATTCGCATTTCCATGTTACAGGTACCACGCGAGAACGATTTCTACGTCCGACTTTAAGTTTAATAGGAACGCGGGAATTCGTATAGGATACATTCATCGCGATAATGGCATTGGGTATTTAATTTGCTCAAGTTTCATTGGTCTTAATTTTTACAAACGCGCCTCTCATGCGTCGTGATCGCCGTGCAGTGTTAATTTTCTCGATAGTGCGGTCAGGCTGGAATATTCCGTCTGTGATCTACTACGCACAAACCGAGTATTGGCGCCACACGAAGTCTTTCGAGATTGTTATCGATCTGGCGCTAGCGAGGATCGTAGACCTACATTTTACGTAAACCGCAGGTGGTTGTTCCGATAGATATCTCGTCTTTGAAAAAGAGCGATCCAGTTTCACATAACGTTTTCTCATATTCGACCTTACCGGAGCATAATAACAGCGGCGATGAGGGATAGTTATGCGACGCGAGAACACATGCCCTTTCTCTCTCTTTCATTCTCGTCGCCGCAGCCGTAGTTTCTCATCCTTTTCTTCTCTCTCTCTCTCTCTCACACACACACACACACACACACACACACACACACAACGAAATAACGACGGCGCGCGGCGTGATGTTGCGTGGCGTCGGCGCCCCCTCTCGACGAGCAGAACCGCCCCGTGATCTCGCGGAACGCACTCCTCGCGCGCGATGGCACTTTCCGGCCATTCGCACAAGAGCAATTACCCTACGTGAAATTCTCATCGCCTTACGATATCTAGACTCGTAATCTGTGACGGCTCTCGCGGTGTGGCCGGTCTCGCGCCGCAGCAGCAGCGACGGCGACAGTGGCGGCACACCGCAATCCTAACCTCGAAATCCGCGACGAGGAGCCGCGCAGAAATCCCGTGCCGCAACATTCTCGCATGTCACGCGTCGCACGCGCGCGCACTCATGCAATTTCGAAACGTCGGGGCAGCATGCTCCTCAACAGGATATTCGTCATACGCCGGAACCGAGTCGAGCCGAGTCGTACTAGTCAAGCCTGGTCCATGGTCGCGTGTGTACGACGACACCGCAGGTTCTCGTAAAAATGCGTGGAAAGTACTTACCCTCGTCCGGATCCTCTAGATCCTCTGTCTGGATGAAGGATATCTCTGAAACCCACAAACACCACGGGTTAGCGGAAAATCCCTCGTGTTTTCGGAGAAGTTTCCTCCCGTCCATAGGCACTCACTCACCCGCCATCTTGTAACAAACTGCGGCGCGCTCCCGCGGCCACGCGCCCAACTTGGCTCGAATCGAGATTCGTTCGATTGTATGACTTTCGATTATCATCGATAACGCGAAATTCGAATTTGTGTCGCATGATCTGAATCGACATATTCTACGCTCGGCATTGTAAGGGCTATCTTCCGGGACTTAATAAGTAAGGGATAGAATCTAAAGTTTTAATTTAGGCGAGGGAATAAAAAAAATCAGATATATGGAGAGAATCATCATGGCTAACCACCATGAATATGCTTCACATATTTATCTTGCATTTCATCCTTTTATTCCTAAATCCATAATTAAAAATCCACTGTAATCGAGAACGCTTAAAATAACAATAAGTTGGTTATGCTTTTTTGAAGAAAAAAATAAGAATTTTTGTGTGCTGCTTAATACCATCATTATTAGCGAGCCAATTGTAATCTTTAACAATGAATAAGAAAGATGTCTCAGCTATAATATACATATATATATGTGTGTGTGTGTATGTTGTGTGTTTGTATAAATTTTTGTAAAAAAGATTATATATATATTTTCTTTTAAATCTAAAAATATGCTCCAATTAAAAAATGCAAGAAATCACTAACTATGGTTGCTATCAAGCTGAATTAACGTCGCCAACGTAAACGTAGTAACAGATGCAGGATGCAAAGAAAATTGGGAAAAAAAACATGAAAAAATCGAAAAGATGTTGATAACACATTAATACAAAGTAAAAAGTATACACATACAAGCATGTATGTACACGTACACATCTAATGTGATTTTCACGTGTTTCTCTTTTGAAGAAAGAAATAAATATAAACTCAGTCAGCTAATTTTTGTATTTTTAATTTTGTTTCTTCTCTTCTCTTTTATCGCTATATTACTAAAAAATCATAACTTTCAAAAACTCTTGTTTATGTTTGAAAATTCATACGAATGGTTTATAACGCACAAATGAGAATTTCTGACTCTTTTTCTCTTTTTCGGATTTGTTTTCCAATTTAAAGAAGTGTCTCTCACCTTAAATAGTCTTCGACCTCTTTACGTCTTCTGCGAAACTCTGATTCAAAAAAACTTTTTTTACTTTTTTAGATTATATTTATGTTATCTTGATTGATTTGTTTATTGTGTTATTACATATGTTATTACATATGTTTACACATGAATCCTTATTCATATATTTTATATTTTAATATTATTTTAACATAAGTCAATATTTTAACATAATATTTTAACATAAGTCAAATAGTTTTGGATGGCATAATAATGGAATATGGATTGTCTATTAAAAATAATATAGAACAAATTACTTTGATATATAAAGATTCTTATCAGAATAAGTTGACATATTTGCTCAACAAGCATAGTTTATTATCCGCGATAAAAAAAGAAGAATGTTCCATAAAAATTGATATTATTTTTGTAGAAAATTATATAAAAATTTTGGAGGAATAGAATATTATAAAATATTCTCTAAAAAAAAAAACAGTAATATATATTAGATACAGAATACTTATCAAATTGTTCAGTATCAAATAATTCAAAATTAAAACTCATATTTTATTTTTGAATAAAGAAAATAATTTTGTTACAGATACAAATTTATTGCTTCAAATTAAATTAATGGAATGATTTACAAACTTCTGCACGAAAAGATATCAGTTATAATAAAAATGATTGAAAAAATTTTTTAAATCTGCGAAAATAACATGGAAGAATGATTTTCATATTCTTCTAAAAGAAAATATAATTGACATCATTTTTATTAAATTATGCATTTAGAAAATTTAAATATTATAAATTACACTTTGTGCATTTTTTCCAAATTAAATTTGCTATTAGTTACAATGTATACACAATTTATATCCAATTTACTATAAAATGAGGATTGAGAATTGTGGACATTTTCTACAAATTGATTACATGTTTTAAATTGAAATATGATTAATTTTTTAGCTTTTTCCATTTGGAAATTATGTTTCTAATGACAATATTACACCTAATTCTATGCAAGACATTATTTTTTAGATAGAATCACAAAAGTTGATAATACAAAATATAATGTTGTTTAAATATTGACTACATGGATTACATTTATAAAGATAAATGTTTTCATATCATTTTTTGTTACTATTTTTTTAAGTGATATATGCATAATGACTTTTTAAAGTAATGGATAGCAATGACGATATATTTATCTAAAACTAGATTTTATTAATTGTTTTAGCACAAACACACAATTGTTTGTACTGAACATTGTAACTTGAGCTTCAATTCTGTAGTCAAATACTTTTTTTTTAAAATAAATATTCAATTAATGAAATATATAAAGTTCTTTACAGTTATTATTGATTTAAACATAAGAAAAAAAGAACAATACTTTCAGTAAATCTCATTCAGAACACACACACGCGTCGTTAATCGTACTACTGAGAGCGTAACGCATATACATTATTGCTGGAAAATGATAGATCGAAAAAAATTATTCTTTAAATAACACGTATACTTTCTGTTTCTGGGTGAAATATCATGTTATATGTATTAGAATAATGGGAAAGGTAATTGATAATGAAAATAAGATTTTATAAAAAAATGTTTGCAAAATACATGTACATAATAAAACATTAAACATTTCTTTTTATATCTTCCCAAGAATATAATCTATATGTGTGTGAATGTCTTACTTTAATATATTATATACTATATTATTAGTATTTTTTTCATAGTTCCTTAGAAATAAATTTATATTACTAGTCATGATAGTTTACTTATATAACTTGTTAAGAATTTAAACAATTTGAATGTATAATCTGAATTTCTAATTATTTCTAATAGAGGAAATATTTTCTGAGTTAATGAATAAACAATTTTCCAAATTTTATAATTCAGTCACAGATTCCGAAGCAAGAATCTATAAACACGATATAGAAATCATCGTATTTGTAAAGGATTCATCAATATTTTCCTATTTTATTATTATATTTCTTACGATAACGAATACATAAATCATTTTCATCAAAAATGCCTATACCTAAAGCTTTTTCATATGGAGTCAAGAATTTGAGTTCTTTCTTTCTCTCTCTCTCTTTGATTTTATGATTTTCTTTAATCTATTTACTTCTCTATTGAATAATTACATTAATTAAATATATTTTTAGCAATATATATTTATTTTTAAACATAATTTTAACCTCTTGTTAAATTAGTGATAGTTTATAACATTCTTTAATTCACAAGTATTATCTTGATAAAGCTACGTAGTAGAAAAAGTATAGAGAAGTATGGAAAAGTTCAAAAGAGAATGTTTTATTTTGTAAAATATTTGTTTGCGCATTGATCTTTGATTCTTAGAATAAACTCATTCAAATCTTTACGGGAATTTTTTTATCTACAATTAATTTGTAGTTCTTCTTGTGTATTAACACATTGTATTGCATAGAGAAAAATACTATGTCACATGTGATAACTGTATTCAGTACAGTACGTAAATAATTATCTATTACAATCATGATTATTTCATATCTATTATAATCATATTTCCATAAAAATAATATGATATAAAAGAAATGATGAAAGAATTGGTTAATATTAGTATGAGATGATCGATGTCATATGTTATCCGAGGCTACTTCTTCGATAGTAGCTCTACACATTGGGCATTCAATCAACTGTTTCGAACACCTTTGGCAAAATCCTCTGTAGAAATATATCAATTGTATCATGTATATTCAAAAATACAAAAATTGTTTTAAAAAATTCTCAAATTTAAATACAATTATATTACCTATGATTGCATGGCAGTAACCTTACTGACGCCCTCTGATCGAAACATAATGTACAGGAATCTTCTCTAACACTAAGCCTTCGCAATTGATCTAAATATATGTGTCTAGGAAGTATGATTTTGTCTTCTGGTTTTAATGTAGCATAATCGTTAAATTTTTGAAATTCTCGGTCAGTAGGTGGATATTTAAAAGGTACATGTCCAAAATTAAATAGACATTGCTGAAATGACATAAAACTAGCCGCAGCAAAAAATCCCGACCTAGAAATGATCTTGGACATTACTGTTGAATTTTGCTTGAATATTTATAACGTAAAGAAAAAAAAGGAAAATATATACCTTACTGTTTTAAATACTTGAATGCATGGTTTAAGAGATACACCATTGATAGAGAATATTATTTCTAATTTGTTTAAATCTAATAAGCAACCCAAGATATCACCAGACTTCCAGCATGGTCTGTCGTGAAATTTTTCACTTCGTGCATTATACCAAATCAGTCTGCGACAGCCATCATAGGCCAAAGAAAATTCATCATCTCCTATACCATATCCTTCCTAATAAAGAATGATAAAAATATTTTTATAGTAAAACAATATTATATAATAATTCTGTATATAATTTCATAATTCTTTAAATATTATATAAATAAAAATATTCTCAAATATATAGAAATTTACATGATTTAGAAAAGTGCTGTCCTTTGTGGCCCATCCAATTTGCATAACCCCTGTAGTTATTATTAATGTCTCATAATACCATATTCCTGAATCTACTTGAAATGTACACCGTACGCTTTCAAAGGAATATGCATCACATCGTGCCTAAATCGAGATACGGAGAGATAAGAAATTATCATTAAATTAAAATAATAATAACTACCAGAGAGCAATGGTATGATAGAATATCTACCTCCAAACCATTAGGTGATATTTTCAGGTACTCGCTTACATCTTTTGTATTCAACATTACATTAATACCCGTCACATCGACGGAATCGTGGGAATATTTTCTACCTTCCATTAAGACTAAAAAAAGTAGACTGATTAAATGTGTCATTGTTGTTTAGTAGTATAAATAAATAGCTCTAATATGAGATTATATACTTACATAAGTTATCTAAACACCATTGTGCACAAAAACCAACTTGTCGACGTACATAATGTGTTTCCGTAGCCCATTTCTCCAATTCTAATAATGGATTTTGTTTTTCTGTCATAAGGCGTTTCTTAATAGTTACCTTATTTTCACCTGTTGACATGTGACAAAAAATTAAATTAATCTGACAAATATAGAAAATAAATATATATATATATATATATATATATATAAATATTTTTTCTTACTTGTTTGTGCAAACTTTTTCTAATGCTATTAAAGAATATAACATTACATAAGGTTCAACATCTTCTCGCTAAAAAAAGAACATTAAAATCATGTTAAAAAGTATCTGACACATTGACATTACTATACTTTACATTGATATTTTATGCAAATTATACTCATACTAGATTTGAAACCAGATAATCTAAAGTGGCATCGGATAATATTGCTATACTACTAGGACCAGCAAGTTTTTCTGCAATACAACCGAGTACTACACATATATTGCGTTGCTGCGTAGTTGTAATTTGTATTTGTCCAAGTTTTTGTGGTAATTGAAACATGTGTGATAATCGTAGTACAGAATCCTATATTGAAAAATAATAATAATCATCATTGTTGCTTTTGCTTTAATTTTTATTATGTTACAAATAAATTGATATGCTAATAATAATAAAAAAATCATAAATAAGTTCCAACCTTCGAAGGTAGAGGACAATCATCTAGTAATAATATTATAACTGAAGGACCCAATGGATTGTGCATTGGAATAACATTGACCATGGAACTAACTACTTGTATCCAACCATCTTCCTTGTCAGCAATAGCATTCAATTTTAACATCGCTGGTGGTGGCTCATGATCACTAAATATATACATAAACAAATATATAATAAAGGGAACAAATAATAAATAGATACATTAGATTGTCTATTACTTACTTATCTACCAAAGTGTCAAGACTTCCTAGTGTCTCTAACACAAGTTTGTCAATGTGTGACGATGTAGGAAATTTAAAGGAAGGAGATGCCGAATCGCTAGACGAAATTATACTTATACTTGGCTCTGGTATTATAGTATTCTGAGTTTCTGCATGATTATGACTGCCATAAGTCTCAATATCATATATTCCTGGAGTATCTTTACACAAACAATTGCCCATTCCCACTGGTTTATTCGAATTCCTTTAGTAAATTATTGCTTGTTGTTTAGGTTACATTTACAGAAGAATGGTACAGTAGTATTATCAAATCTTGCATTTGACTAGGCTGAAAACAAAAATCAAATAAAAGATACCGCTTTGATGAAATATGATTGAGAACTATGCCACTTACCAAAAAAATGATATCATAAATCATATCCTTTTACCATGTATAAATGATAATGTTGTAAGCGTCTTTTATTTGCTTAACTGCATGCGTAACTTTAATATTACAGCTTTATAACTAAATGCAAGTTAAACGCAAAGTATTTTTCATTCAGGTCTTCTTCATTAAAATTTGCCTCTTTCCATTAACAAACTACATTTAATGCATGTTTCCTCTGTTTTTTGGTCTATAAACAGAAAATTAAAACGATTAGATAAAAACGAGGATTGTGTAAGTCAACACATACATGACTAGACTTTCTCGAAAGCTTATAAGAAAAAGAAATACAAATGCTTATTTTGCATGTTTTAATTTGAGAAATGGCTATATTGAAAATAAATTTTTTCGAGCTATACACAATAAAAAAATTTTCCAAAAATTCGATTGAAAGTCGTAATCAAGTCGGAGAATCTCGAACTTTAAGGTTATGTTTCTGTTGCTCTGCACAACAGAAATTTCACCATAAAGCACGAAAAGTGAGATCACGTATATGATTTATACTATTTGATATTACTTCGTCGATCTTGTGTCCCACGGTGGCGAGTATTTTCTACTATAACTCATACTTCGTAGATCTTGCGGGATGGACTTTTAATAATCTCGACGTGACACGTTATCGAATCGTTCCTCGCATACTCGCGTAGATTATGCCGCCGTATCGCATTTTGTGTTCGGTGCGAGACGCACGCGTCAAATGGGATTAACGAAATTCGTCGAGATTCCGCGTGTGAACCGAGACTCTCTCAATGCCATTTCCTGTCGTAACAATCGTCGCTTTTATCGCCGTCGATAAATCGCGCACTGTAAGAAAAAGCCGATTTTTTTCACAGTCTCGTTTGGAGCAAAACGGCTAGGTTTGCCGTTGACATACGCGCGAGATTTACAAAGCCGGCGGCCCGCGCAGGCTTCCGACAAACGTAACAGACATAATAAATAAATATACTAAAACGAATGTGACGCACGTACACGTGATATATAATATATAAATATATTTATTTATATATTAATATAAAATGTTTTAAAAAGTGGAGATCAATCACTCGGGAGATGTGATTGGAGATTCAAACAAGAAAAAAAATTGATATGAATATAGATCCGGAAATGCGTTGTTTTCGAGTTATTGCCATAACTATTTTATATTAACTAGAATAGTACATACAAAGCGCGCGCTTCGCGCGCGCCATTTCTTCTTTACAACATTAATTTGAAAAATTTATATTGTTGTTTATTGCCAACAAAACGAGAAGATTCAATTCCATCAACATAATATCAATAATTTCGCTACAAAAATAATATGATGTTAATAATTGAAACAAATTAAAACAGAAATAAAGAGATAAATATTAGCTTAATAATAAAATTTAGATATTAAATATAATGGTCGTCTGCATTAGAACAATACAAAGCGCGCCATTTCTTCACTAACACTGTTCATTTTTACTAATTTATTCAATAATCACAAAATATTCATTCTTAAAAATTTAAAGAAAAAAATCAAACATATATCTTTATGTACATAATTTGTTTTTAATTTGTTTATTATCACGCTGGCTACCAAAATAAACTTTTAATGCTCGCCAAGAATGTACTCGTGAAAAGACGACATAAAGTTGTTCATGACTAAAAACATCTTTACGAAGATCTATTCTTATTCTCATTGTCAAGCAAATATCTGTCATCATGTAATTTAGTAATTGTCATAGCAAAAACTAATTTTATGAGATATTGAAGAAGAGATAATTTTTATAGGTTATTTTTAGAGTTTTATAACATAATTAAAGCCAGTTAAAAGTTGCGGATTGTTTTTATTGTTTTTGAATTCTCAAGCACTTTCCGAGCGATTGACTTTCATTTTTGAAAT